GCGGCCCTGGCCGCGAAGCAATAGCGAGCTTGGCTCGCGTGAGAGATGAACGATGACTCGCGCGGAGTCGTGACCGTACTAAGCTCTGTCGGCGCTGATACCCGGTATATGCAATACGGGAGATGTCGCGAAGAGAGATGTCCACCACGGTGGAGGCGTCAAGATAATCCAAAGTGGTCGCACGAAGCCTTCTCTCAATCCTCGATCGTATTGAGAAGGTGGAGATCCGTGGAGTTACCATACACTTCGTAACACAAATGCCAACGTGTCCTCGGACTCTAGAGGCAATAGCCCAACGTGCAAACGCACTCTAAAGGGTTAGAGTGCGTTTGCACGTTGGGCTATTGCCTCTAGAGTCCGAGGACACGTTGGCATTTGTGTTACGAAGTGTATGGTAACTCCACGGATCTCCACCTTCTCAATACGATCGAGGATTGAGAGAAGGCTTCGTGCGACCACTTTGGATTATCTTGACGCCTCCACCGTGGTGGACATCTCTCTTCGCGACATCTCCCGTATTGCATATACCGGGTATCAGCGCCGACAGAGCTTAGTACGGTCACGACTCCGCGCGAGTCATCGTTCATCTCTCACGCGAGCCAAGCTCGCTATTGCTTCGCGGCCAGGGCCGCAGCTCTCACGCGAGGCACACTCGCTATTGCTACGCTGCCAGGGCCGCAACTCTCACGCGAGACACGCTCGCTATCACTTCCCTGCCAGGGGCACAGCGCTCTCGCGACACACGATCGCTGGCCTAAGCTTACTCAAGACTCCTACGTCGTCGCATCCGCGACTCTATACGCGAGGAATATTCGCTTCTCGTCTCGACGAGACTTAGCATTCGTCACGCACGCAGTACTATCAATGCACATCTACGGTTACATGTACGTCAACGTCAGACTACGACTCGGCCGCGTACGCGATTCAGAGTTACATTCGCGAATAGGCTTTCACGACGAGACATAGCATTCGCCGCGTGCGCGACTGTTCAGGTGAGCAACGTTCGCCAATCTACCATCGCAGATTCAGTCTCTGTTGCTCCCTCGCCAACCTGAGCTGAATCTTATTCGGACTTGACTCCGACACTCACAAGGAAGACGGATAAGTGTCTCAATACTTCAAGTGATTGTTATCCTCCGAAAGGGGGATTCCTTCCAGCGCGGAGGCGCCGGACAACCCCACGCGTGCCCTACTCCGGGTCACGCCGTGCTCTTAAACACAAGAGCATTATCGTACTTTCCTCACACCATCTTACGAGGTTCCTGAATAGGAGAGCACGAGCTACACTCGCGCATTCAAGGTAGTAGTCGACGATAATTCGACGGCATACGAACTAGCCGCGCACCATCTAGAGCTGTTCGAAACAGGGCCCATTCTGGACGTTTTGTGATCAATGCATGGTTCAAATTGATCATTTGTTGTCGGTAGCGAGCAGCATTAACCGTTTCACCAGATTTGAGAAGTTCATAATAAACAACACCCTTTTGATCCCACCAAACACAGAGCATTGTCTTCTTTCCGAAGCGATTTGGTCTTGCAGTCGATGTTGATGGTTGACCTGGATCAACCCATGATTTTCTTCGTTTGGGATTCTCGAAATATATCCATTTTTCATCACCTGTGACGATTCGATACAGAAAACTCTTGATGTCTTTTCAGCAGGAGTTCGCTGGTGACTTTTTGATTCTTCATCTGTCTTTCAAAGTCAAATCGTATGGTATCCATTTTCTTTTTTTTTGAATCTTTCCCATCGCGTGCAAACGCTCGCTAACACTGTTTTGAGTCACATTTAATACTTCCGCCAATTGTGATTGAGTTTGAGTGAAGTCTTCGTCCAACAATGCTTGCAACACTGCATCTTAAAATTTTTTCGGTGGTTTTCCCTTAGCCTTGTCTTTCACATCAAAATCACCAGTTTTGAATCGATTGAACCAACGTTCACAAATGTCTTAAGATGGTGCATGTTCGCCGTAAGCTTCTACAAGTATTCGATAAGTTTGAGCAGCAGTTTTCTTCAAAATGAAGTAATGAATCAAAACCTCCCGCAAATGATCTTTTTTTGGTACGAAATTCGACATTTTTAAAACAGAAAAAGATTTTTACACTCTCACAATTTTCCACATGTATAGTTTTGTAGGTTAGGAATAGCCAAACAAAATACTATATATGTCAAATCACCACGCGTAAGAACGTATGTGTGACACCATCTGTTAGGAAAATCCGCATTGGTATACACCTGGTATATTAGCTCTGATATGGTACGAATCAGACACCGTGTATATACATATACATATATAGCGAATCTAAAATCATGAATAATCTTAAAATGAAAATATTCCTATTCTGTTTAAAATAATGTATACAAAACGATAAGATTACCTTAGATTCAGTCTGAGTATAAATATAAATCAATCATCACCTTGATTCAAATTTATCTTGATTACAATTTCTGCGAAATCTTATATAAAATATTTGTTTTGTATGTATTTTTAACAGGGTGTCGTTTACTATGTATATTTTAAGCAAGGCTAAGCATTGCGGAATGTGTTTTCTAATGTAATATATAATTTACTTCTATTACTAACGCAAGTTCAATCGATGCACACGTCAATATACTACACATCTAATCTACTATTTATACTACACATAAAAATGAGCATGTGAAATATATCTATTCACAAATTCGCATAATTTGTATAATAGCATTATTTTTACGCATAAAAATATCAATTACATATCAAATGTCCAAAAATGTTACATTATATATCGCTAAGAGGTTTATGTTGGATACATAATAGTACATTTCTCTCTCTCTCTCTCTCTCTCTCTCTCTCTCTCTCTCTCTATATATATATATATATATATATATATATATATATATATATATATATATATATCTATATATATATCTCAACTTCATCTTTCTTTGAAAATTTCATCTTTCTTTTAAAATTCTCATATTTCTTTTTTCTGTATTGTGCATATTTTACTTAAATATGTGTGAGTGTATGCGATATGCAAAATAAAAACGGACATCTACGTTAAAAGTAATTTATAATGCAACTGAATATATTTTGTTTTTTAATTAACAATAAAATATAATATCAGACATTAATTTTACTTAGTTTAACTCTAGATTGTCAATACTTATTGTCAGTATTTAGTTTATTATTGCCAAGTAACAGGTGTAGGTTGAAATGACTAATATTGAACAATCTAGGCTTAACAATTTCGATCATAATATAAAATGATTAAGAAAGAATCCAGTAAATACAGCGATGTATTAATAATGTTTTTAACAACGTCTTGGAAGCGTCATTAATACATCATTGTTAACTGAGGGGTTAATTTATTATATTTATTTTCTATAATATTTTTATTAGTTCAAGGCTTATTCTGTTACAATCTGGTTGAACGGATAATACTTTTACTGTTATACGTTGTCCGACACACAAAATCTGACTTTTTAAATACTTAACGTGTATCAATCCATTTGTACCGACTCCCACATCTACAAATACACCAAAGTGCGTAACATTTCGGACAACACCATTTAATATAGTACCAATATTTAAATCATCGATACTTTGCATATTGTCACAGAATAATGGATGATTCAATATTGATCGTATATCTTCATTCTTTTTCACAGTTAGACCTTTAACTATAATTTCTATTGTAGCTTTGTTGGTATTAAATTGTACAGCTAATTCCGAGTATCTATCTTTCGCGTATAAATTTATTCTCTCGATAAATGTTGAAGTACCAAGATCATTCAAATCGCATTGGCAATGTTTCAGAAGTTTATTTGCTACTGCGTACGATTCTGGATGAATCCACGTTTGATCTAACAGATTAAAACTGTCTTGCGAATTCTTCGATTTTTTTTCTGTTACTGTTTTTTGATTAATTAATACCGTTTCTGGCAAAATTCTTATAAATCCTGCACACTGCTCAAACGTTTTACTACCAATGCCTTTTACATTTAACAACTGTGCTCTATTTTTGAATGCACCATGTTTAATTCTCCGCTCTATGATATTCGCTGCTTTAGAATTTGTAAGACCAGCCACTCTTTGCAGAAGACATTTTGAAGCTGTATTAATATCCACTCCAACAAAACTCACCACTTCAGTGATAACCTGTAATCAAAAACACTTTAATTGTAGAATTTTTATTGGATTAGAAAATTAATTAATTTATAGTTTTTATATGCATTATTAATTATTAATTATATGCATTATATACGTTATATTTATTTATATGCATGATTATTAATACCCATTAAACATAAAACTTTCAGGCGACGTTACATTCGAGAAGAATATATCTGATATAAAACGTTTCATAATGAATGTTAATGCAATGTCGCATAAAAGTTTTGGTAAAACGTTTTATTTCTAACGTCAACGGAACGTCGCGAGAACATTACATTTCGATATTTAAAAAGACTATTTGTAATGTTTCATTCATATTAAACATGTTTGGAGCCCATTTCATTTGTAACGTGTCATTAGTAATATTTCAAAATGTTAGCTGAACGTTATATACGAAACGTTTAGAAGACATTAATTATATAACGTTATTTATACTTGTCATGTAAAACTTTCATTTTGGAGCATTGAGAAACGTTTTAATAACGTTACATATCTGATATTACTGAAACGGTCATTGCATAACGTCGTACAAGTGTTACATATACAGGGTATCTCAGAACAATCTATGAAGCTCTCGTGAGACGGTAGAGCGGTTCAAAATAAATATGAAAGTCCTATACCATTTTACGATATTCTTAATAATAACCGAGAAATTAATTACGAAAGATTAAGGAAAAGTGTGTGCTGAATGGTAGAAGACCGCTTGAGTTACAGTACAGCCCAGTAATAAAGCGCGCGGATGTCGCGTATGGCAATTGGAAGACAATGCACTACCCTACTGAAAAATTTCTGTTGAGATAACATTCTGTTGAGAATTCCTAATTCAATTCTCAGTTGAATTCTCAATTGAATTCTTAAATGCCATTTCTGCAAAAATTTGCATGTAAGATCTCAATTGAGATATTTGTATCTGATGGAAATAATTTATTGAAAATATAATGAATTTTTGCTGAAAAACTTTTGAAAAGCATTCACAATTTTAACCCAATTTCATTAAAATTTCATTATAATTTCATTAATATTTCGATAATACCATTAATAGTATTTCATTAAAATTCAGTGAAAAATCATTATTAATTAGATCATTATTAATTAAAATAGATTGAGAAAAGTATAATGAAGTATTATTTTGTCTAAATAATTAAAAAAAAACTGTAATTTTATATTTTGTGTCGTTTATTCGTATCATTTATTCGTAAGATTCGTGTGGGTTCGATCCCGTGTCATACGGTCAACCATCTTTAGATGACTATGTGCTGTTCAACTATGCCTAACCTCAACGATCGTACTGGAACTAGTAATGCCAATGCGCTATAACGATATCATGGTAGATTATATTTACAATATACTCTCACAACGTTAAAAAATGTAATGATATATTTGTCGGTAAATGTTTCAAAGGACGTAACAACACAATGCGATTAATATTGATACAATGTTATATAACTCATCAAACTTTAACATACAACGTGCTCGCAAAAGAGAGAGAAAGAAGGAATATTCTCTCACTTTTGCGAGCACGTTGTATGTTAAAGTTTGATGAGTTATATAACATTGTATCAATATTAATCGCATTGTGATTGTTGTTACGTCCTTTGAAACATTTACCGACAAATATGTCATTATATTTTTAAACGCTATAAGAATATATTGTAAATACAATTCACCACGACATCATTACAGCGCATTGCCATCACCAGTTCCCGTTGAGGTTAGACATTGAACAGAACATAGTTATCTAAAGATGGGTGACCGTGTGACACGGGATCGAACCCACGCGAATCTTACGAATAAATAAAACAATACAAAATATAAAATTTACAGTTTTTTTTTTATTATTTAGACAAAATAATACTTCATTATACTTTTCTCAATCTATTTTAATTAATAATGATTTTTCACTAAATTTTTCTACATTTTTAATGAAATATTATTGAAATATTAATAAAATTATAATGAAATTTTAATGAAATTGTGTCAAAATTGTGAATGCTTTTTAAAAGCATTTGAGCAAAAGTTCATTTTATTTTCAATAAATTATTTCCATCAAATACAAATATCTCAATTGGGATCATACATGCGAATTTTTGCGGAAATCGCATTTGAGAATTCAATTAAGAATTCAACTGAGTATTGAATTGGGAATTCTATTGTTACCTCAACAGAAATTTTTCAGTAGGGTACTACTTATACTTATGCCGCTGTGCTCCTACATGTCGCCACAGCGCGGTGCGGCAAGGCGTAGGAGCGCAGCGATATAAGTATAGCCAGTAGTGCATTGTCTTCCAATCGCCACGCGCGACATCCGCGCGTTTTATTACTGGGCTGCGCTGTGACTCGAGTGGTCCGTCCTCTACCATTCAGCACACACTTTTTCTTAATCTTTCGTAATTAATTTCTAAGTTATTATTAAGAATATCGCAAAACGGTATAGAACTTTTACATTTATTTAACCCACTCTACGTTCTCACGAGAGCTTCGTAAATTGTTCTGAGACACACTATATAACGTTTCACGCTAACAATTGAAAGGTATCTAGCCCAGACAGCACAAAATATTTATGATAAAGATATTTGTAAAATTATTTTTTAAAAATATTATATAAATATTTTATAAATATTTTAGGTACACACATAAAGGAAAAAAGGTACATAAAGGTACCTTTCAAGCAATCAAAATCTTTATTCAAAATATTATTAAAATGTAGATTAAATATTTTACACAATATCTATAATAAAGAAAAATAAATATTTGTAGTAATATTTTGTAAATATTTCTATTTACAAATATTATACATGAAAGAAATAATTGTAATTATTCATAACTATTAAGTTAATGGAAAAATAAGAAAATCGAAATGTAAATTGCTAATGTACATTGAAAGAATTTTTTAAATTAAAGAAATATATTTTGTTAAATATATGGGAGGGTCCCGATTGCCTACAAATTAATTGCCTATAGTATCGATTGTTGACGTCAAACTTATCTACATTTCATTTGCACACAAAAATTATTGCCTACAGAACAATTACCTACAACTTGTATTACGCACAAATAAAAAATTAAAAGCCAAACGCTCGTTTGCACACACGACATTTGCGCACGAATCACATTGCACACATAATATTATTGCCTACAGTATGATTGCCTACATGCTCTATTGCGCACAAATAAAAATTAAGATACGAATGCACGTTTGCGCACAAAAATTATTGCCTACAGTAAGATTTCTTACAAGTTCTATTGTGCACAAATGAAAAATTAAGAGACGGACGTACGTTTGCACACACCAAACTATTGCTCACAAGCCACATTGCGCACATAATATTATTGCCTACAGTACGTTTGCCAACAAGTTCTATCGCGCACAAATAAAAATTAAGAGGCGAACGTACGTTTGTATACAAAAATTATTGCCATTAGTACGATTACCTAGCTCTATTACGCACAAGTAAAAAATTAAAAGCCGAACGCTCGTTTATATTTTAGTACATATATATCATTATATATTTTTTAGTACATATATATCATTTCAATCGTCGCTCTCTATTGCGAAGCGAGATATTAATATTTAAAATGATACATTGATAGGGTTAGAAAATCTGTCACATGGACATATGCTAAAACACCGTGTGATATTAAAAAGTCTATTAATTTGTTACAATCGTTGATTAAAAAATTGGTAATTATCCCATTATACCATCTATCTCTAGCTATGTAACTGGGAGGTTTCGCCCCCCAGACCCCCCGTATCACGGTGGGGTGAGAGCTACAGTCTTTTGTGGGAAATTCACTCTTTAGCTTAAGCACAAAAGACTATAGCCCCCACCCTCCATGATACGGGGGCTCTGGGGGGCGAAGCCCCCCAGTCACATAGCCAGAGATAGATGGTATGACAGATTTTCTAACCTAACGCGCCCTTAACTTTGTCTATTAATATCTCGCTTCGTAGTAGAGAGCGACGATTTTGTCAGAGGAAAAAGTTGTTTGGCATGTAAAAACAGGTCGATTGAGCCTATTTTCATCGAAACCGGAGGTGTTGCGGCTAAACTAAATAATTACCATATTATGTGTGCAAACGAGCGTTCGGCTTTTAATTTTTTATTTGTGCGTAATAGAGCTTGTAGGCAATCGTACTGTAAGCAATTATTTTTGTGTGCAAACGTACGTTTATCTTTTAATTTTTATTTGTGCACAATAGAGTTTGTTGGTAAACGTACTGTAGGCAATAATATTATGTGTGCAATGTGGCTTGTGCGCAATAGTTTGGTGTGTGCAAACGTACGTCGGTCTCTTAATTTTTTATTTGTGCACAATAGAACTTATAAGCAATCTTACTGTAGGTAATAATTTTTGTGCGCAAACGTGCATTCGTCTCTTAATTTTTATTTGTGCACAATAGAGTTTGTTGGTAAACGTACTGTAGGCAATAATATTATGTGTGCAATGTGGCTTGTGCGCAATAGTTTGGTGTGTGCAAACGTACGTCGGTCTCTTAATTTTTTATTTGTGCACAATAGAACTTATAAGCAATCTTACTGTAGGTAATAATTTTTGTGCGCAAACGTGCATTCGTCTCTTAATTTTTATTTGTGCACAATAGAGTTTGTTGGTAAACGTACTGTAGGCAATAATATTATGTGTGCAATGTGGCTTGTGCGCAATAGTTTGGTGTGTGCAAACGTACGTCGGTCTCTTAATTTTTTATTTGTGCACAATAGAACTTATAAGCAATCTTACTGTAGGTAATAATTTTTGTGCGCAAACGTGCATTCGTCTCTTAATTTTTATTTGTGCGCAATAGAGCATGGCAATAATATTATGTGTGCAATGTGATTTGTGCGCAAATGTCGTGTGCAAACGAGCGTTCAGCTTTTAATTTTTTATTTGTGCGTAATACAACTTGTAGGTAATTGTTCTGTAGGCAATAATTTTTGTGTACAAATGAAATATGGATAAGTTGAATGTCAGCAATCGATGCTGTA